CCCCAGGGACGACGCGCGCACCGAGAACTCTAATAGTATATGCGTCGTGGCGGGCGCTTTCTGGCTACACCGCTCGGGAAAACGATCTACTACAAGATGGGTATACTATATGTTCGGGTCGGACGCGCGCCTCCAAGGAGGACATCTAGTATGAGTGTGTCCATGCGCGTCCCATTTTTCGACGCTTTTCTGGGTGCTCGGAATTCTGTCTGGGATGTGGTCTTTCAGTGCGATGGGCGCAGCAGGCGACGGGCGCCCCCCCCCCGCGCGGGGGCGGGCAGGGCTCTCCGCGTCGGAGCCGCGGGCCCGCCGGCCAGAGCTCTCCGGGAGCCTCGGCTGGGCTGGTCTCGGGCCGGGCACGCCCCTCGAGAGGAGGGCAGTGCAAGAGAGACACATGCAGTAGTCAGTGGACGTGTTTTTTTTTTTTTTTTTTTTTTTTTTTTTTTTTTTTTTTTTTTTTTTTTTTTTTTTGTTTTTTTTTTTTTTTTTTCTGTTTTTGTTTTTTTTGTTTTTGTTTTTGTTTTTTGTCTTGTTCCGTTTTGGTCGGGGGTCTACTCGAAGACATTTGCTCCAAGTTTTCTTATTTGTTGTTTGTTTGTCGGGGGGATATATCTATACTAATACATGCATTTATATACATGTGCATATGTGTATAAGAATCTACGTATTCCTATTCCTATATTTTTATAAGCCCGGGCGGGGGACCCCCCCCCCCAAAACCGGACTCCCGGGATCTGGGGCTTTGGGACCCTCCGGACGGGCCTCGAAGCGGCCCCGGGGCCTCGCAGGGCATTTTGCCAAGCCTTCCCAGCACACCTAGGGCGATCAGGGGGGTCATCGGAGATGTCCCAGAGACCCCCAAGACAGCACAGGAGCGCTCCAAGAGTGACCGACGTGACCTCAAGATGGCCCAGGAGGCCTCCAGGACGGCCCCAAAGGCTTCAAAAAGCCTGCAAGAGCACTCCCAAGAATGCCCCCAAAGGCAAACATCATTGATTTTCTGTGGGTTTTTGGTGAATTTTGGGGTTCTCCTATTTTCGGCTTCCCGACGCTCCAATACAGCAGTCTTCTGGGCGTCCGAAGCCGCCTGGGAGGCTCCAAAATCGCCCCATAACCCTCCGAAAGGGCTTTCAGGCAGTGCAAGTGAGCTCCAAAACGGCACAACAGGGGTCAAAGATGGCCCTAAGAGAGCCCCATGGCGGCCCAAGACGGCCCCAAGACACCTTCGGAAGCATTCCAAATCGTGACCTGGTCGTTCCGGGAGACCGCGATTGGAGGCAGGGTAGCCCGAGGAAGCCCCCAGAACCTCCAGAACACGCCCAGGAGGCCTCCAGAAGACCTTAAGAAAGCCTGAAACTTTTGTGAGGCCCCCAGAGGCTCTCCAAGGAGGAGCCTCCGCAACAAGAGCTGAGGAGGATAGGGGGAAAATGCGCAGTGTATGGCGAGAACAAGGAAAATAAGCATGGAGGAAGGATAACGAATAACATAATTTTAGCGGCGATGCTGGAAAAGGCAACAAGGAGTTATCGCTAAATTGTCGGCTTGACCTTCCCGCCATTCCGCCTGCATACTAAACTTCAAGGACCAAGGTGCATGGCGCGAAACGCCACTGCAGTCTTGCATATATGTATATGTATATGTATATGTATATGTATATGTATATGTATATGTATATGTATATGTATATGTATATGTATATGTATATGCATGTATGTATGTATGTATGTATGTATGCATGTATGTATGTATGTATGTATGTATGTATGTATGTATGTATGCATGTATATACATATATGTATGTATGTATGTATGTATGTATGTATGTATGTATGTATGTATGTATGTATGTATGTATGTATGTATGTATGTATGGTTGTATGTATGTATGTATGTATGTATGTATGTATGAATGAATGAATGAATGTACGTACGTATGTTATGTATGTACGTACGTACGTACGTATGGTATGTATGTATGTATGTATGTATGTATGTATGTCATGTATGTATGTATGTATGTATGTATGTATGTATGTATGTATGTATGTATGTATGTATGTATGTATGTATGTATGTATGTATGTATGTATGTATGTATGTATGTATGTATGTATGTGTATGTTGTGTGTATGTATGTATGTATGTATGTATGTATGTATGTATGTATGTATGTATGTATGTGTATATATATATATATATATGAACGCTTTCGGTAGATACGTCGGGGGTGGGAGATCAGGGGTGCGGGGAAGGCATGGTCGTAAAGAGATTGTATGGCAGTCGCTGTTGTGGCTCAGTCTCTTGAGGCTTTCCGCCCTGCGGGGCATGTCTGATCCTGGCTCGGGGCCGCCACCGCGGTCGCCTCACCTCCTGGGCCGCCGCCCGGCTGGCCCCCGCGGCCTCCTGAGCGCTACTGCGGGTGGTGCTCGGGGCGGCTCGGCCCCAACGAGTCGTTGGCCCTGGCCTTGAACGGCCAGCTGTGGGAGGTGTGCGAGCTGTGCTACCTCCTGGCGCTGGCGCGGCAGCACGCCTGGCGGGCACGGTTGACGCCGGGCGAGCGTGCGGTGCTGCTGGAGCAGGCGCGCCACCTGACGGCACTCCTGGCGGCGCGGGCTGGCCTGGCGGACGAGGTCGTCCGAGATGCCGCCCAAAGCTAAGGCCAAGGCGAAGGGCAAGGCCAAGGCGGCAGCTCGGGGCCTCGGCGTCGCGCGCGGCGGGGGACGCGCCCGCGGGCGCGGCCGCGGCGGTGGCCGAGGCGGAGCGGCGGCGGGCTTCGGGCGTGGCCACGCCCAAAGGGGCGCGGGAACCGCGGGAGTTGGCCCCGGCGCGGGGCCTCCTGCGCTACCCCCCCTATGCGCGGCCGCTCCCCCTGGCGGCGGAGGCGCTGCGCTGCTGCCTGGTGCCCCCCGCTGGGGATCGCGGCTGGAGCGCTGCCAGGCCCGCCTGCCGCCGCGCCTGGAGGCGATGCGCCTGGGGCGCCGCCCGGCGCCGTGGCTGGGGTCGGCGCGGCCCTGGTGGGGGCCCTGGCTGCGCTTCCTGCTCCAGGAGGGGGGCCGCCGCCTGGCGCGCCGCCGGCGCCTGGGCCCCTCGCGCTGCCAGGGGCGGTTGCTGCTGGCGCTGGAGGCGGCGGCGTGGCGGCCGCAGCGGGGCCGGCGCCCGCCGGCGGGGGCGCCGTGGCGCTGGAGCGGCTGGTGGACGGCCCCTGGATGGGCTCGTCGGCCCTGCAGCGCGGCGCCTTCACAGCGGGGGCGGTGCTGGAGACGCCCGCGCACGACCCGACGGGCCAGGTGGACGGCACGGCGCTCTTCGAGGTCGTGGAGGCGGGCGTGCCGGGCCCCGACGGGGTCTACCTCTCCGTGAACTTCCAGGGCGCCTCGCTCCCGGCCCGCGTCCTGGAGCTGGACCTGAGCTTCCCCGCCCCAGGCGCCAGGTAGCCAGGGGTCCTGCACCTCTGTGCGGGCGGCGCCGCTGCCTGCAGGGCCCCGCGGCTGGTCGGGCGCGGCGAGCGGCGCGCCGACTGGCTGCGCCTGAGGTCGGCTCGGGGCCTGGTCGAGCCGTGGGTTTGGCCGACCTTCCGGCCTCCAGGCGGCGGTGGGGCCGAGGGCGGCGCCGCCGTTGCGCCAGCGCGGGGCCGCCTCGCGGGGGCTGCGGCTGGGTTCGCGGCGGCCGCGGCTGCTCTGGAGGCGGCCGGCTCTGCAGCTCGCCCGCTGGCGGCCCGCCGTCGCCGCCGCGAGCAGTCGCGAAGCGACAGTGAGGGGCGAGCTGGCGGCGACCAGCTGGATTTTCGCGACGCCCCCTCCCGCGGCAACGCCATTCAGGCGGTGGCCGACGGGCGCCCGGGCACGCTGTGCGACGAAGCGATTGCCCAGATCGCGCGTGTCATGGGCCTGCGGGAGGGGGCGGACGGGCAGAGGGTGCGCCCTCGCATCAGGGGCTACCTCCAGGCCGTGGTGTTCGGCCACCACCCGATCCACTCGGTCGGGGGGCGGACGGTGCGCGAGCTCCAGGCGCTGGCGGCAGCGATGGACCTCCTGGAGGACGGGTCGCTGGCGTCGGTCGCGGACGCGCTGATGCAGCGGTTCAAGGCGCTGGAGATGGCGCTGAACGACGGCAACTGGTACATTGCCAAGGAGCTGGAGGTGGTCGAGGGGATCCGCCCGACGCTTGCCTCCCGCGACGAGCAGGAGTCGGCGCGGAGGTCGGCGATGCTGCGGCGGCGGCTGGAGGAGGTCCGCGCCAGGGGGGCAGCCCCCCGCCGCTGACCCGAGGAGGCGGCGGCTGCAGAGCCGCCTCGAGCGCCCTCGCCAGGGCGGAGCCGTGGGCGCGGGAGCGACCCCGCTCGCCGCGGCCGGGCCTTCATCGCGACGAGGCGTGGCGGTGCCCGCCCTGGCGGAGCCGCAGCGGCCGCGGGCCAGGCTGCCGGCGGGCCGGAGGGTCCCGCAGCCGCTCGCGAGGCCTCGAGGTCCCCCGCCCGAGCGCCCTCCGACGCCGGGGGGCGGCCTCCCTCGCCGCTCCCTCCGAGGGCGGCCCGCGGGGGCGGCCCCCGCCCTGGCGCTGCGGCGGCGCCGGGCCGCGTGGAGCTGCTGGGCGCTCCCGAAGTCCGCGCCTTCCGTCAGGGCCAGCCGGCAGCGCAGGTCGGCGGAGAGGCTCCCCAGGCGCGGCGGCAGCCCGACGGGCAGGGGCAAGCGACGCGGGCGTCGGGCGCCGAGAGGAGGGCTGCCTGGCCGCGGCCGGCCGGCGCCCTGGAAGGGCCGCGGCAAGGGCCGCTAGCACTGGAGGCTCGGGCGCGCCCAGCTGATGATGCGCGTGAGGATGCGGGCCCGCTGGGCCCAGCTGGAGCTCGTGCTGACTGCGTGGGCGAGCCAGGGCCGCCGACTGACTCACTGGCAGCAGGCCAGGGGGCGGCGCGCGCGGAGGCAGCGTGGCCAGACGCGGGCGCCCCCCTGGTGGCAGGAGAAGGCTGGGGCGGCTGCCGAGTCCTTCCGCCGCCCGCTGGATGCGGGCCCGATCCTCGAGGAGCTGATGCGAGAGTTCCCAGGGTCGCTTGGGGTCTGCGTGGGCAAGTGCACAGCGGGCATCGGCCAACTGGACGGGGGCGGCTGCAACGTGACCTGCTACCGCTGCCCTGTCCCGATCTCGAAGCTTCGGACTTCACACTGGAGGAGAAGATTGACCCAGGCGACCTGGCCTCGCTGCAGTCTCGTTTGAGGGTGATCGTGCATGATGGCTATGAACTGGGGGGCTGGCGACCGCCACCTGAAGTGGGCGGACGTCTGCGGGCCGGGGCCGAACGCGGCCCAGCGCTCGGCCCTCCTCGGAATTGCGCGGCGCATCTACTCGAGCGTCGCGCCCGAGCCCGCCATGGCCGGGGCCCTCGACTGGTCCGAGAAGCTCAAGGACCGGGCCATCGCGCTCGACGGCTCGGACGTCTCTACGCCGAGCAAGATCACGCTCGAGCAGATCGAGGGCGGCCTGTCGCCTGTGGGGGTAGCCGCCTCCATCGAGACCGCGGATCTCGCCGCGGGCTTCGTGCGGGCGGCGCTGCTGGGCCCCTCCCTGGCCCTCCTGCCGCCGGCTCAGAGGCGCCCCGCGCCGACCTCGACGCGCGTCTGGGCGACTGCGCAGGAGTGGGGGCAGGTGGTGAGTGCCCTGTTTGCTCGCGGGATGGTTGGCTCGATCGACGAGGACGAGATCGCGACCAGAGACGGGGTCCCCTTGATCAACGGGGCCTTCGGCGTGGCGAAGGTGCACGACGCGCCAGTCCGCTGCGGCGATGGCGAGGAGCGGCCCGTCCTTCGGCTCATCGTCAACCTGATCCCCGCGAACGCGTGCCGGCGCGCCATCGCGGGGGGCACCCCCGTCGTGCCGACGATGGGGCAGCTGAACGGACTGGTGCTGGCTCCAGGGGGGCAGCTGCTCTGGGGCGGGGCGGGCCGCAAGGCGTTCTTCTACGTGTTCAGGGCGCCCCCCGCCTGGTGGCCCTACATGGCGCTGGCGCCGCCGGTGCCGCGGCGGCTGGTGGGCGGCAGCGGCGACGGGCTGACCCGCATCGCACTGAGGGTCATCGGCATGGGCTGGATCAGCGCGGTCGGGGTCGCGACGCACCTCCACCGCAACATGTTGAGGCGGTCTGCCCTGGTCCCCCGCGGACTGCCGCCTGCGGCCGAGGTGGTGCGCACCCGCCGCCTGCCTGCGGAGACCCACGCAGACGGCGTCGCGATGTGGTTCATCTACATCGACAACCTCGAGATCGCGGAGATCGTGTCGAGTAAGGGGGCCGTCAAGCTGAAGGGGGCCATCCCCGAGCTGCTGAGCCGGGCGTCGGCCTGCTACGAGGAGGCTGAGTCTCCGGGATCGCGGGGGAAGGATGTCCACCGTGCCCAGCAGGTGTCCACGCTGGGGGACCTCGTGGATGGCGAGGCTGGCGTGCGGCGGCCGCCGCTGGGCTACGTCACGGAGCTCGCGAGCCTGACGCTGTGGTTCCTGGCGAAGAGCCGCGCTGCTGGGGCGCTGGGTTCGCGTGCAGTGCTACCGGAGGCCGCTCGCCGCCGCCTTCGTGAACGCTTGGAAGTGGCTGGCGTCGGGCCGCTCGGGCGGGCTCGTCGCTCTGCGCGTCGCCGAGGACCTGCTGATCGCGGCCGCGCTCGCACCGCTCAGCGTGGCGGACATGCGGCTGACCGTCGACCACCTCGTGACGGCGTCCGACGCCTCGGAGGCCGCGGGGGCGATCGTCTACTCCCAAGGGCTGTCGGACATGGGTCATGCCTTCGGGGCCAGAGGCCCGCGGGCTTTCAACCCCGCCTGTGTGGAGGGCGTCGAGCTGATCTCCGTCTTCTCAGGGATCGACGGGGCGCGCCAGGCCTTCGAGATCCTGGGCCTGGTCCCCGCGGGGCACCTGTCGTTCGAGGTTGACGCCGAGGCTGTGCGGGTGGCTTGGCGGGCGTACCCCAGCACCGTGCACCTGGGAGACGTCGCGGCTGCAGATCCTGCGAATCTGGCGCGCCTCCTGCGGGGCCACGGCCGCATCGCGAAGGTGATCGTGATCGGGGGCTTCCCGTGCCGGGGCTTCGCGGTGTTGAACGTGGCCCGCGAGGGGAGCGCGGGCCCGAGGTCGCAGCTGGCGGGCCACATGTGGAGGCTCATCGAGGGGCTGAGGCGCGAGCTGCCCGAGGCCGCGGTGGACTTCCTCGGGGAGAACGCGGCGTCCATGGCGGAGGACGAGGTTCTGGCCTTGAACGAGATGTTCGGCCGAGTGCCGGTGTCCCTCGACGCCGCGGACTGGGTCCGCCGCCCGCGGCTATACTGGCTGTCGTGGGACCTGCTGCCCTCCTTCGAGATGTCGGCCGAGATGAAGGCGGCGGCGGATGGCGCCCGGCCGCGGGCCTGCCGAGTGCGCCTGGTGACAGAGCTGCCGCCCGTCTCGGAGTGGCTGCCGCGCGGTGCCACCTGGCCCGGGGCCGCCGAGGACGGCCGCCTGCCGACTTTCGCGCGCTGGACGCCGCGGAGCTCGCCTCGGCCGCGGCCCGCGGGGCTCCGCCAGTGCACGCCGCAGGAGGTGGCGCGCTGGACGGCAGCGGGCTATGCGCAGCCCCGCCCTATCAGTTTCGGGACTGCTTCTGCCTGCATTGGGCGGGCGGGCGGAAGGATCCGCCGCGGGCAGTGGTGCGTGAGGTGCTGACGGGGTTCAGGCGGGGCCACGCCGTGCCCTGCATGAGCAGCTCCGCCGCCAAGAGCGACCCCGAGCGCTTCGAGGCCTTGTGGCGGTCGTTCGTGGGCAACTCGTTCCAGTGCGAGGTCGTGGCCTGGCTGCTGAGCTACTGGGCGGTGCGCCACTCGCTGCTGGTGGCGGTGCCATCCCTGCGGTGCCTCCACGAGAGCTCGAGGAGCTGGTCGATGGGCCGCAAGCTTTGGGCTTGCGATGTCATGACGCTGCTGTGTGGGCGCGAGGCCGTGTGCGAGGAGAACCTGCACCTGCTGGAGGAGGCTGGCCGCGTGCCCGCGGCTGGCGCTGGGCAGGTGACGCGCGCCGTCTACGTCGGCCGCGGGTCGCGCCGCTGGGGGCTCGCCCCCTCCAAGTGGGGGAACCCGTGCCCCGTGGTGCCGGGGCGGCCAGCCAGCGACGCCGTCGCGCTGTTCGCGGGCTGGTTGCGCTCCCACGCCAAGCTCCTGGACCTGCTGGGAGAGCTGGAGGGGGCTCGGCTGCTCTGCCACTGCCCCTCGGGTCAGGCCTGCCACGCGGACGTCCTACTGGCGGAGCTGGAGCAGCGTGGCAAGGGGTGCTCGCGGCCCTTCCTAGAGCACCAGAGGGTGGTGGCCTTTCCCACGGCAAGAGATCTACGCTGGCATTTGGATGTGGAAGGTCGCGCGCCAGCTCGTTTGGCAGGACCAAGCCAAGCACATCGATGTGTTAGAGTGCGAGGCTGCGCTGATGGCCCTGCGTTGGCGGGCCCGCTCAGTCTCACGACAGATGTGCGTCTTCCTTCACCTGCTCGACAGCATGGTGGATATCGGTGCTCTTGCCAAGCGCCGGTGTTCCAGCCAGCAGCTCAACAATGTAGTGCGCGCCTTTTCCATCCTTGAGCTGGCGCTCGGATCGCGGGCTGGTCTTGCCTTCGCCTCATCGGCAAAGAACCTTGCGGATGCGCCATCCCGCTTGCCCAATGGGTAGGCGCACTTCGCCAGAGGAGAGGCGTGCTACCCGAGCTGCTCTTGGCCGTCTGGCCGACGCGCGCGTGAACGCTAGAACGCGCAACAAATACCAGCGCGCATGCCAGCAGTTTGTCGAGCTTTTGAGTGCTATGCACTTCTCTTGCCAGTCACGTGGGACGAAATGGATTTCTGCCTTCAAGATTATCTTGAGTATCTCTGGAGCATCGGAGCCTCGAAGGGGCAGGCGAACGACACTTTGTCAGGAGTGCAACATTTTCTGCGCTCGCGCCGCCAGTTTCTTGGGGCTTGGCGCCTCCTCTCGGTGTGGTCGCGCCTCGAGGTGCCGAGCCGAGCGCCTCCGATGCCTGCTCGAGTCGCCGCCGCAATGGCCGGCTGGGCGCTCGAGCGCAATGAGTTCGCCCTGGCTGCCTGCATTCTTGGAGGCTTCCACCTGTGCCTGAGAACAGGTGAGATCCTAGGGTTGAACCGGGCCCTGGTCCAGATCGGCCCCCAGGGCCGCGGGGTCGTGAGTCTCCCCTGGACCAAAACAGCTGCCCAGAGAGGCGCCCAAGATGCCGTCGCGATCGACGATCCCTACGTAGGGGCCTGGGTGCACCGTGCACTGCTGCTGGACCCTGCCGGCAAACTTTGGAGCGGCGCGCTCCCGTCTTTTCGCGCCGCTTTTAAGCGTGCTGCTGCAGGCGTGGGCTGTCGCCACGCTCGCCTCGCTCCGTGCAGCCTTCGTCGAGGCGGGGCCGCGCGCGAATATCTATCGTCGAAGAATCTTGAGCGTGTCATGTTGCGTGGGCGAGGGAGCTCCATCAGGACAGCCAATATATATATATATATATATATATATGTATATATATATATATATAATATATATATATATATATATATATATATATATATCGAAGACGGGGCCGCCATCCTTGCCGAGATGCAGTTCAGAGGCGAAACTCAGAGGTGGTATCAGTCACTACTCGTCCTCTTTTGTCTCTCGGACCAGAGAGGAATTCGGCTGAATAGCCAGGGTGGGGCGGGTGGAAAGGATCGAGCGGCCTCGACTCCCTCAGATCGCAGCCCGGAACGCCGCTGTGCCGACCATTCTTGGGTCGACCGTCTGGGTCCCTGGCCGAGCGCGATGAGGCGCGGAGAGTGGAGTCGAGGCCCCCTCAGATCCAAGTCAAAGTGCTATGGCCATGTGGAAAAAGGATGGGGCCCTCTGGAGGCCCCCCTGTCCTGTGTGCTTCCGCAACCCCGCCTCCCCCCAACCGCACTTATATAAACGCTTGCGGTAGATAAGTCGGGGGTGGGAGATCAGGGGTGCGGAGAAGGCATGGCCGTAAGAGATTGCATGGCAGTCGCTGTTGCCCGCCCGCTACCACCCTTGGCGACTGTTTCAACCTTGCTAAGACCCGCAAGGATCGAGCGGCCTCGACTCCCTCAGATCGCAGCCCGGAACGCCGCTGTGCCGACCATTCTTGGGTCGACCGTCTGGGTGGCCGCGCGATGAGGCGCGGAGAGTGGAGTCGAGGCCCCCTCAGATCCAAGTCAAAGTGCTATGGCCATGTGGAAAAGGATGGGGCCCTCTGGAGGCCCCCCTGTCCTGTGTGCTTCCGCAACCCCGCTTCCCCCCAACATATATATATATATATACATATTCATGGGTATATATATATATAATATATATAATATATATATATATATATAATATATATATATATATATATATTATATATATATATATATCGATTCGTCCAAATTCTGCCTGTAGGAGGACATGCCCGACCTGCGGCTGGTCGGAGGAACTCCCGGGGGGGGAGGGGGTGCGGGACCCCCGAGCCCGCCTGTGGAGCAGACCCCTCTCGCGCCGTGCAAGGATCACGCCGGGAGCCTCCTCGCCAGTTTCGGACTCTGGGGGCCCTTGCCGCCAGGCCTCGGATCGGAGGGCACCAACTATACACCAACACCGATCCTTGCCCAGGATCACCCTGGGCCCAGGGTGATCCTGGCCAGGATCGGTGTTGGTGTATAGTTGGTGCCTTCCTATCGGAGCCGTCAAAAAACGATTCGGAAAGTTTATGTTCATGGCGTTTTTCTTTGCTGTAAGCGGTAACTGGGCCCCATCTTCCGACCTCGTCTACGCCGATCCCATTTGGCAGGCCTCTCCGTACACTCAGACCTCTTTCGCGCTGTGCAAGGATCGCGCCGGGAGTTTCCTCGCCACTTTCGGCCTCCGGGGGCCCTTGCTGGCAGGCCAAAGTCGGGCACGTCCCTCTACAGGAGGAATGTTCAGAATAGTCAAGAAATAGTCGGGCGACGATTCTTCTAGTATTTTCGGCTCTGTTGGAGTTTGTCTGGGCTATTCTTCATCCTTCTTCCAAAATCTGCCTGTAGGAGGACATACCCGACCTAACGCCAGGCCTCGGGGTCGTCAAAAAACGACTCGGGATGAGAAATCGGTCCCAGGGAACGGGTCCAGATTGGAAACTGGAGCATAGAGCATATTACCAGTGGCGGGCTGTTTTCAATCCCGGGACTCTTTGAGAGTCGGGGACGCCGTCAGGATGGTGTGGTGTATATTTTTTTCCGCGTTTTCCCGGGAGGCAGCGAAACAATTACACACCAGGGCTCCGTATATGCCAGGATCTGCTGTCCTATTTGCAAATTTCAGTGCGGCGCCGGAAGAGGCGTCGGTGTATAGAGTTCGGTTTCTTACCAGACTTTCGGGGGTCTTGGGCAGTTTCGTGGGGCGCCCAGAGGAAGTCGTGGGGCCGTGGGTGGGCCCTGTTACAACTCCGAGAGGTTGACCGAGAGGTCTCCTCCGAGAAGGCGCTTCCCGTCACCCGCCAACGATCTACACATGCGAAATCCCGTGCCACACAGCCGTTTCGTCTGAACATCGGCTTCAACAAATGTTCCACGCCTTTCGTTCTTGGAAGAAACTTCCCGTCATCCGCCAGCGAACCCGGGGATGGAATCGAGACCCCCTACACTAGAAGAACTGTGCTAATCATTGGACTTCAGACATAATTTTTTAGTGGGGGAGGGACAGCGCTGCTCCCGCTCACGATCTCCGCCTGGCGATCGCTCTCGAAGAACAGGAGGAGGAGGAGGAGGAGGAGGAGGAGGAGGAGGAGGAGGAGACAGGCAAGCAGCCCGAGGCCACCACAAGGCAGCCCCCACGGAGTCAGTCACCCGTCTTGCGCTCCGGTCTGCGGTAGGCTCGCGCCGTGTCGACCCGCGGCGACCCCGCCGCCGGCGTTCAACGTTGACACGCTGCCGGCGACCCAGAATTCAGTCGATGTTGAACAGTCTAATGTTTCGGAACCGGCCGATCGTGCAGGGTTGAACGATGCCCGCGGTGTCAGAAGCCAACGCCGAAGTCGGCACGACGAGAACCCGCCGTACCTGCCTGGATCCTTCTCCGCGTTCGCTCATCTGTCGTATGGAGGAGGAGCGATACCAACACCACCAGGGGGCCCACCTCCAGCGAGGAGGTCCACAATGCCTCCCCGAGCGGGAGACTGGGGATGTCTCGAGCGAGAGGGGGGGACCACACCACCAGGGAGACCCCCCTTGCCTCCGCGCATCTCCTCGCCCTGTTGGTGTTGGTGTCGCCTTTCCTTGTTCGCTCATCTGGCCCCGTCCTCTGCAGAGTGCCTCTCTCGCGCGTCTGTGGGTGCTGTCTCTGCTGCCGCCTGGCCCCTGGCCTTACAGTCGGGCACGTCCCTCTACAGGAGGAGTATCCAAAAGTTGTCAAAACATAGTCTGCTGACGATCATCTCTTATTTTCCGCCCACAATCCGCCTGTAGTGGGACATGCCCGACCTAACCTCAGGGGCAACGATAGGGGGGGATAAATGCATAGGGGGGGATGCATCGACACGCAATCGTCCATCGATCGCCGATAGGGGCCCGATAGCCCCAACCTGCCCAGGAAGGTGCGGATTCGCGATCCGAGGCCCATCGCCGATCTACCGGCGATGCATCGCCGATTCCGGGTCGGTGCACCCCCCTCTCTGCCAGTCCCCCCCCCTATCGTTGCCCCTCATAGCCCTGGCCGTGCTGCTCCCTCCGCGCCGCGCCGCGCCCCTCCGCCCTCGCCGCGCCACGCCGCGCCTCGAGCGGGAAGAGCGCGGCAGGCGTGGCGGTGGCCCTGCCCGGCGCCCCGCTCTGCGGCGGGCCCCCGCCCCGCGCCCCGCTGGCGCCCGCTGCCGGCCGGCCGCTCCCGCGGGGGGGCCCGGTGGCTCCCGGGGGCGCAGCGGTGCCCCCGTCTCCTGCCGGGCAGCCGCGGCCGCGCGCCGCCGCCCCGCGGGGCGCGCAGCGGAGGGGCGGGGGGGGGGCGGGCTGCGAGCACCGAGAGGGGAGGGCAGCGGCGCAGCGGGCAGCGGGCGGCCACGCGTCGGGGGAGGTGCCCCTCAGGAGGGACAAAACGCACACAGGCACAATTTGTCGTCGATTCCCCAGAACATATGGAACATATGGGAAGTGGAGGGGAAGACAATAACCCAGGAAGTATGGGAAGATATGGGGAATCCTTTTATTTGTGTGTATTCATTTGTGTGTCCCAGGGCCCCTTCACCCTCGGCTGCGCCGCCGCCGCGGCACGGTGGGTGGGTGGGTGGGTGGGTGGGTGGGTGGGTGGGTGGGTGGGTGGGTGGGTGGGTGGGTGGGTGTGGGTGTGTGTGTGTTGTTTGTGTGTCCCTGGGCCCCTTCAGTCAGGGGGGGCGGCGGGGCGCTGGCTCTGCCGTGGGGGGTCCGTGCGGTGTGCCGCGCCCTGCCCTGCGGGGCCCCCGCGGGGGGCGTCGGCAGCAGCCAGGGGGCGCTCGTGGAGGCTGGGCCCCGGGGCCCTGAGGGCCCCGTGTGCCCAGGCAGGCGCGGGGGCTCCGACCCCTCGGGCGCGGCGGTGCCGAGCGAGTGCTGCTTCCGCGGGGCTGCGCTCGGGGCATGCCGGGCAGCGGGGCGACGTGCTCTGCAGGCAGCTCGAGGCAGGCAGAAGCCAGGTCTCCAGGGCAGGCCGACCCGTGGTGCACGAGGGGCTGGGTGGAGACGGAGGGAGGGGGGCTGCAGCCAGGGCCCCGGCAGGACGGGGGAGGTGCAGAGGAGGAGCCGTGAGCAGCGCATGCGGAGGGGAAAGGAGCAGGAACATCACGATTTAATGATTTCGGTGATGATGATGGTGATGATGATTCTGATGATGACGATGATGATGACGACGATGATGATGACGATGATGACGATGATGACGATGACGATGATGATGACGATGACTTGGCTGATCTTGATGCTGTTGATGTGGACGACAGCAATACTGTTGATAATGATGATGAAGACGATTCTGAACATGTAGATGAGCACGATTATGAACATGATGAGGATGAGGTGCTACTGCTTATGATGATGATGACGATGATGATGCTGATGATGATGATTCTACCGATGATGATGATGATGATGATGATGATGATGATGATGATGATGATGATGATGATGATGATGATGATGATGATGATGATGACGATGATGATGATGATGATGATGATGATGATGATGATGATGATGATGACGGTGTGACGGCGGCGACGATGATGAATCTGATGATGATGGTGATGATGATGATGGTGATGATGCTGGCGTGCTGGTGATGATGATGCTGGAGATGTTGATGCCGATGCCGATGATAATGCTGCTGCTGATTATGAGTATGGTGATGATGATGGTGATGCTCATTCTGAGTATGCTGATGATGATGATGACGATTATCATGATGCTGATGCTGATGCTGATGATGATGCTGATGCTGCTGCTGATGATGATGCTGCTGATGATGATGATGATGACAATGATGGTGATGATGCCTATGAGGCTGACTCTGATGATCACGATGTGAAATGACGATGGCGATGCTGACGATGATGGTGATTATAACGATAATGAGGTGAGATGATTTTGGTGGTGGTGATGCTGCTGGTGACGATCCTTCTGCTGCTGATGATGATACTGATGGTGATGATGATGATGACGATGATGATGCTGATGCTGATGCTGATGCTGATGCTGATGCTGATGATGATGATGATGATGATGATGATGATGATGATGATGATGATGATGATGATGATGATGATGATGATGACCATGATGATGATGATGGTGGTGGTGATGATGATGCTGATGAGGATGAGGATGATGATGCTGTTGATTATGATGATGCTGATAATGATGATGATGATGGTGGTGGTGGTGGTGGTGATGATGGTGATGAGGATGGTGATGATGGCGATGATGACGAGGAGGGCGAAGGCGCATGACAATGGTCAGTGCTTGACGGAGCAATCGAACGTTGATGCTATAGAGCCGCGGCAGAAGCAGCATGCTCGCCGGTTGAGGATTGACGCGCTCCTACGATTGCAATTTCTGGCTCTCCTCCTCCTTTTCTCCTCCCCTCGCTCGAACCCCCTTTCGTCCTGAGCCTCTCTCGCCTCCTCTTGGACTGCGACCGATTCGCGAGCTGTCGGATTCGTTTGTGGGAGACGCACTTGTGCACACCGTGCGTGGTCATAGGGTGGCGCGCACGCGTCTTGCGGAGTCTCCCCGTTGATTCCCGCGGGGAGGATGGGCCGTTACAGGTGGGAGTCTCAGCGGCCGATGCAGTCTAAAGACGGTGAGTGTATCGCAGTGCAGCAACATCGGAAACTCGAGCATATACATTACCAGTGGCGGGCTGTTTTTCAATATCAGGATTTTTTTAGGGTCGGGGACGACATCGGGGTGGTGTGGTGTATACTTTTTCCCCGCTTCCCTGGGAAACAACGAAACATGTATACACCAGGATCCCGTATACACCAGGATCCGCTTTCCTGTGCGAGTTTCAGTGCGGGGCCGGAAAAAGCGTCAGCGTATAGAGTTCGGCTCCTTACATGCATTTTGCTGCGTTGCATTCAGGAATGCATGCTGACATTGTAGCAATTTCCGCAATCGGCGGAACATGCTTTGCCCATCTGTGTGTCCGCCGTCAACGGAACAGCCTTCACCAACTTCGTAGCAGCAGTCGACGTGCTTGGGATTTGTATTGATACATGCCCCTCTGCCTCGCTAAGTAGTTCTTTGCTCGCGTGTGCCCTGTTAAACGTCATACGTGCTCTCCCGCACTCCGTAGTCATTTGACTCAAGTGCCGCTGTTTCCATCTTCCAGTGCTAGTGCTCCACTCCCCGCACCTCAGCATGTATTCCTTCGTTGCAGCCGTGGATGAGGAGCCGATGGCCCCCGAGTTCCAGGCGGCAGTGGTTGCAGCACTGGCACAGGTTGGGCTTATCAACCCTCAGCACCTGGCTGGAACAGCGGACACTGCAAGTGGGGAGCTGGCCGGCAAGCTCTCCATTGCGAAGGATGGCTTGCTCAAACGCACCTTTCGGTGTGCCGAGGTCGTCTCGGCGGCTAAACGTGCGAAGACGTCGGCGATAGCTTCCTCCCAACTTTTCGATGCATCCCAGAGCTCCCAAGTCCCGAGCGCCTTGGCGGCAGGGTCTTTGATCAGCCTCCTCGGGCTGGAGGCATCAGCAGGGGCAGTGGCAAGTGCCTTGACGGCGGGAAGCGTCGTGGTGGATTTCAACGACAAGGTTGAGAAGGCGGCGGTCAGGGACCTGCCGTACCACCTCAGGCCTCATCCTGCGCTCTTCCAGCTTCTGGTCGCGGCGGACAAGTCGGCCCAAGAGGCCGTCCCAGCCCGCAAGGCGTACACGTACGTCGACCAGACCCACAAGGGCGTGTTCCCTTGTTGGATGGGGTCTGAAGCGGTTGGGGGGCACACGCTAATGCCCAGCGATTTTGACGGAGACCCCAACGCGGATATTGCGTCATTGGGTGCGATGGGGGGGGCCTTCAAGGGCGCTTTGGAGACAGCCTGGAGAAGCCCAGGTACTACCGCAGCATGGTACAGTGGAGTGCAGTCTGGCGCCGGTACGGTCGCCACTGGACAGATGACATGGCCCATGGTGCTGGTGCAGGCGGACCAGATGCACAAGCTGGAGGAGAAAGAACGCATTCCCGGAAATGTCCCGCCCTGGTTTTCGTCAACGACGAGCTGCCCGGGCAGTCGATCGCGTCCAGGGCGGAATGGGGCGACCCGACCTTCTTCGATCTCGTGGCGACCTTCAGCGATGTGGACATGCAGGTCTTCGAAACCACCAAGACCAGGCTGCTCCAGACCGGTCTCTCGAGGCGGCAGAAGCTTGGGCGGGGAGTGCGCCCAAGATGCGAACGGTCGTTCCAAGGGCGCGGCCTAGGCCGAGAGGATCATGTCGAAGGCCGCCCAGGCAGCGAAAGCGTTAGCGAAGCAGCAAGTCCATTTGGAGGCCTCGACTGGAGCGATGTCGAGGAGCGGCGGCAAGGGCGGCGGCAAGGGCGGTGGCAAGGAACGCGCCGGCAAGCATAACAGGCGGGAAACCTTTTCTTCCAACGGGCAGAGGCAGATCATCGGCAATAAAAAAGATGAGGGCAGCCAGCGCTGGGGCTGGTGAGGCTTGGAGATCTCCCGTGATGATGGGCCCGCCACTAGGCTGGGCCTCCCTGGGTGCTCGGCGGCGCTCCTTCGTCCCTGCGATTTGCGCGCGGTGGGGGCCCGTGCCAAGAAACGTCCTGCGTGCCTCTAGGGTGCCCCGGGTTTCTTGGCTTTCTATGGCATTGCTAAGGACAGCGTGACGTTCCTGCGCCCCAAATCAATGGGCGCCCTGGGGTCTCAGGTTTGAGTCTTTTGTGGGGGGTTTCTTGTGGCGGGGCGCCTGCTGTCGAGCTGCGGAGAGCTCCTGTGTGGAGCTCTTCTGCGGCCTCGCCTCGCTCGCCTTTCTCGCTGGGCTCCGACGCCCCGTGCCCTGCGCGTGCCCCCTTGGGGCTCGCCCTTCGGGTCCGATTTTGGTGTCCTACTGCGCGGGGGGGTGTTCTTCTCTCATGCTGTGTCGGGCCCGCCATCCATGTGGTAATCTTGGATTGCGTTGCCAATCCTTGGCGTGGGCGCGCTCGCCCCCCCTCAGGTCGCGGAGCTCTGCGTGGGGGCGCTTGACGTGGGCGGGGCTAGCTGCCGAGGGAGTTTTGATGGGCGACCGATTCTTTGTTTTCTCAGTGCAGCTTTGCTTCGTGCTGCATGCGGAGCGCCGCTGCTTCTCGACTGAGAACCCTTTGTGCTCGTGGGCGTTGGCATGTCTGGCAGTGGCGCGGTGCGCGTCTACTTCAGTTAGGGGCGCGTTGCTCTGAGCCTGCCGTCTTCCTCCGCAACCTCCGCTTGTGCGCAGATTTTCTGAGCCCCCGCGCGTGGCCCCCATAGGCCGCCGCGCGTGACCGCCGCGGCTGACGGAGCTGATGGCGAAGCCCTCCGGCGAGAGCCTTTGCGCGGAGACCTCTGCGGCCGCGCGTGTTGATGCCTCGCGCGCGCTCGCGTCCCATGGCGATGGGCGCCCTTTCCCGCCGCGGGGCCCGCGGCGCCGCCCGGGGGCCGCGCGTGCTGCGCGGAAGGCGTCGACATGTTGGCGGTCTACGCGTTCGTACCTGAATATGTCCGCAGCGCCGTTGTTCGCGCCCGTTTCGCCGACGCAGACGATGTCGGCGATGGCGAGCGCGACGACTTCGCGCCGTGGCTGCCCTTGCCGAGGGCGCGTGGCTGCCGTTGCCAAGCCGCGCTTCTTCGCGGACGAGTTGCGGCGCTCTGCGAGGGGGGCGGCTGCGCTCGAGCCGGAGGTCCTTGACGAGCTCACGACGGACAGGCTGCAGCACTGGGCGTTGAGGGCCTTCCAGTTGGATGCAGAACGGGCCAGATGGGTTGCGGGGGCCTTGCCGCAGCTCAAATGGATGTTAGCATCCGTGCATGGACCATTTATTCTTGAGTAGTGCATGCGTTGTCCGCACGTCGTGAACTCGGCAGAGACTTGCGCCCCCGTCCCCCGAGATTTCGGGCGAATCGGGAGCTTTGAGACGGAGGTCAATGCAGACGGGGGCCAGCCAGAGCACCCCGATCTTGCAGGATCCTGCAGGGCCAGGGTCGCATTGTCCTGGGCTTGGGCGCAGGATCCTGCAATATCTTGGAGGATCCTTCGCGTTGACCCAGGCTTGGGCGCAGGGTCTTGCGGCGCGAGGCCTGGCTGACCCGGGTCTGCCCCGAGCGAACAGGCATGCGACCTCTCCGTTGCCGGTTTCCGCGTTCAGCGGGCCGAGCGCTACGGCTGCGTGATGTCGAAGCCGATCCCGTCTCTGTGGTCGTCTGCCCTTTTGGGGGCCCACTGCGGGGGGGATGCGTTGGCCAGGTCGGGTGCGCGAGTCCCTCGGTGCCCGTCCATAGTCTTTTCCGCGTCGCCTCTCCCTTGCGCGTCGGCTTCCAGTTGGAGGGGGCCGGCGGGCGGCTTCGCGGAGTGGGGCGTCAACCCAGCCGCGCGACCGCGGGGCGCCGTGATCCATGGGGCGGTGGGCGACTTCGCGTCGCCGTGCATGTGCGTGGGCATGGCGCCGCGGACGTGGGGGCGCGACGTGGCGCGGGCCTTCGGGAAGGCCCCCATCAAACGCGATGCCGCGGACCTCAGCTGGATCATCTGTGCGCATGCTGGTATCAGTTGTGCTTCGCAGAATTTGGCGATGACCCATGAGCCCATGTCTGCCAAATCGCGTGGCATCGTATAGGCAATCTCCTCAACATCATCATGATTATGATGGTCTTGGCTCCATCGTGCATGTTCGCGGGCGACTTTCTCGGCTGCGACCCGCAGGGCTGCGTGGTCACAAGGGGGCTCCTGCCTGACGGCCATTCGCGGCTTGCTCGGCTTCCCCGCGGGCCCGAGCATGCACGGTGGCCGTGCGTGGGGCCTCGCAGCGCTGGGGTCGCGCGTCGCGCTCGACGTCGCTACCGTGTCCGTCTCAGCCGCGGTGGGCGCGCGCGAGGCGCAGAGATGGGCGGCGGAGTGCCAGTGCGTGGCCAGCTAGAAGCAGCGCAGGCCAGAATAGGCAGCGAAGTACGCTGGCTGCCTGTCATTCGCTTGCGCGATTGCAGGGGGCCAGCACGGAAAAGGCTTCGTGCAATTATTCTTTGCCCCGGCATCGAGCCTTTGCGTGGCTTCGGCGTGCCCCCGGTCCTGCTCAACGCTGCCAGATGGTGGCCCAAGTTTTTGGGTGCCAAGGTGGCCGTGCGTCTGGCATTGGGCCATGCCGCGAGGGAGACAGGATGGGCGTGGGAGGGCGCAAGTGGCGAGGGCCCGTGCTTTGGCGCAGTGGTGTATTCGATGTGCAACTGGCACTGCGCGCGCCTCGGTGCCCCGCCAGATGTCCTCGACCAATTCTGGGTCAGGCAAGACTCGCAGATCAACTTCCTGGAGATGCTGGCGGTGCTCCTCATCGTCGCGACGTTCAAGCGCAAGATCTGCGGCGCTGCGGCCTTCGCGCCCGTTGACGACGACGGCGTCTTGGGCAGCCTTTGGGCAGCTCTAGCGCGCAAGAAGCGAACGTGCTCGCGGGAAGGATTGGTCTTCGTGCAGCGGAGTGGTCCTGGGCCCCAGTGCGTACGAGTGTCGAGTCAGCTGCCGGGAGTCAGCTGCCAACTTCGCTGATGGCCCGCCCCGCTACGACCTCGCGCGTGTTGAGAGACTCGGAGCAGCGTGGGTCGCGCCGGTCTTGCCGCAGAGGCTATCTCTTCTGTGACTCTCAGACCGCGGCGACTGTCCGCAGAGGTACAATGACCGCAAAGTGCCTCTGCAGTGGCCAGGTGCGTGTTCCCACCCCGGACCCGGCCCCGCCCTCGGGCGCCCCTTTCCCTGGGCGAGGTTGTGGCGGGCGCCCCTTCGCGCGCGGCCCGCGTGTGAGAGCGTGGCGGGGTGCTGCGCGTCGATGGGCCCGCGCCCCAGCGGCCCGGCGCGCTGGGCGGGGCGGCCCCGACCTTCGTTCCTCCAGCGTGCTTGAGAGAGGTGGGGTGGATTCACGATGGCGCGTTGCGGTCGCAGGCCTTGCGGCCGAGGAAACTCGGCGGGCGGCCCTGCCCCCCCGGCCCAGTCCACTGGGCGGGGCGCGGTCGGCCAGTAATTGTCGGCTTCGGCCGCCGCGCCCTGCAGTTCAATATCGATGGGCGACCCCGCCGGAAAACAGTGCGCGTGGACTTCCTGAGGCGGCCCCTGGGGCGGGGCGCGGGCAATTCTTGGTTTCCCGCCCCCCTGGAGCGCGAAACGCGCGAGGGTCTTTCCGAACTGCGGCGGCGCGGCGCACGCCCGGTGGAAGTCGCCGCGGGAGGTCTGCATGTGTGGCCGGTGCCGTTGTCGCCTCCGCATGGGGTCGGGCGGCAGGCGTCGGTCGGCCATGCCTGTGTCTTGTGCTCTGCTACCCGGCGCGCGGGGCGCGCGACCTTACCCTCTGTTGCCCAGGTTCTTTGGGCGAGGTGGGGTGGGCAGCTTGCTCGCGCAGTGGCCCGTGCGGGTCCGCGTCGTCGCGCCTGCAATAGCGTTGCAATCCCCCCTCGTGCATCGCAGTGCACTCGGGCCCGGGGCTGTGGCGACGTGGGTGGCGGTGCAGCGCGCCAAGAGAGCCAGTGGAAAGCTTGTCGCTGGGCTTCCCAGACCCCGTGATGCTGCTTTCCGACGCGGCCCAGTGGAGGGCGGCCGCGAACTTGCGCAGGGCGCCGGAGCGTTTTGAAACATCGTGCCGACGAAGAGCGGTGCCGCGGGAGCGGGAGTTGGGCACGTTCTGGCAGGCAGGACAGTGTGGGCCCGCGGCGGCGACGTCGCCGTGACCTTCGCCAACGAAGCCTCGAGTGACTGGAAGGCGAAGTCAAAGCATGCGCAATGCGACCGTTCATCGGCGGCTGCCGGGCAGAGGCCGTTCGCGGAGATGAGGGCGGATGTGTGCACGGACTGCGTCAACGAATTCGCGGACTGGCTCGAGCTGGTCGACGGAGTCCAGGCAGGTCCTGCGGGTGGGAAAGTGGCGGGCGGTGACCTCGGCGCGGCGCGGCGTCCTCCGCCGGCAGCGCCGCGACTCCATCGACCCTGGGTCCTTGCGGGCGCGGAATCCAGCGCAGGCTGCGCTGCTCCGCCGCGCAGCGGCCAGGGCCTTGCGACGCGGGCAAAAAGCGAGGCCAGTACAACGAGGCCATGAATCCTGGAGCTGCTCAGCTTAGCTCCGGCGCCAGCGACGCCACCGTCGGCGTTGAATGCAAATCCGCACTCGCCCGCGCTGGCGAGACGTCGAAGACCACGGTCGTGCAGGCCCAGGAGAACTGGTCGATAGAGGTCCACTGCCTTCTCGGAGGTGCCCTGGGCTCGAGGTCCAAGGAGGCCATCCAGATGTTGGCGGCGGCAGGGCAGGATGCAGAAATGGCGCGATTCCTTTGCGAGAGGGCGCGCCTCCTACGCGTGGGGCGCAAGGAGGGGTGGTGGCTTCCGGGCTCCGCGCGTGGCACCCCTTCGCAGCGGACGTTTCGGGGTGCGCCGCGGGCGAGACGCTGCCGCCCAAGCGGGGCGTGGACACCTGCAAGTTCCTGGCAAGTATGGGACCTGGT